CGCACACACGCACACGCACACGCACACACACCCACCCACACCCACCCACCCACACCCACCCACACACACACACACACACACACACACACCCACACACCCCCGCGCGCGCGCGCGCGCGCTTTCCTCAGGCGCAACCGCATATAGGTTTGGCTGTCCCTGCACCCGTGGGGTAAACACCCTCTAAACGCACATCCTCAACCCTCGGCCCCAAAGCAAGTCTTGAGCCCATGACTCGGATTGTGGCCAAACCAAGTCAAGCTCTGCTGTGCCTTCTTTCGCTAAGCTCCGCACGGCTCCACAGGCGTTCGTTTCGTGCACGACGTCCTCCACAAGACCTCTGAACGAGGGCTTCGTCCAAGTTCTTTGGTGAGTGCCGCGGATTTGGCCATGCTGCCATGAACTCGCTATCTTAAATCGCCACCGAGAACCCTTCAAATCCTGTGAGCGTCATTGATCTTGCAGAAATCTCGAAGTGCCCGTTGAGCCCCAGGTGCTACAGGAGACATCGTCGCCGAAGCCGAACTTGGGCACATTGGGGTGGAAGCCCTGAGCAGCGTCAGATGCAGCTGTGTCTTTACGGCTCTTCACCAGGCTTCGAACAAAGTTTTTCTCGGGTTTCTTGGGGCTGTAAACCTGGATCTCAAAAGGCGCTCTGCAATCTTGTGCTGAGGCTCCTAGTCTGGCCCTTTTGGGGGCTTGGGGTCTTCAGCTCCGTAAGGCCTGTACGATGCAAGGTGCGTTGGGCGCTTTTGTTGGAGTGTTTACTTCCTGTTGTAGTTTTATCGTAAATGTTTTGTGGGATGTGGGACGCCCCTCAAAGCAGGTCTGGCATTGCTGCCGAAGCGCCAGATTCGCTTCTTGTTTCCTTGGCTGCTGCGGGCTTGGGCAGCAGAACCCTTCAACTCTCAAGGCATCAAGCCCCGTATTTCCTCGATTCGACGCTCGTTGCCCTCTCCGCACGAAAAGAGGATCATACTTTATGGTGGCGATCTCAAAAATGGCTGCTCGGTGCCAGAATCATACCGAGGTGCTGGAGTCCAAACCCCCTAAACCCTCCTTCCCACTTCTCTTGGTCTGAGCCTTCCATTCTTTTTCTCACGATGTTCAAGGTCCCGAGCGACAAATGTCTATGGTGATTTTGCAAAATCACAGGACTTCAAGGCAAAAGGGTGCAGATCTTGGTGCTTTGGAGCTTGCGGCATGTTGGGCGTTAAGCTCAGGGGTGTAATGTTCCTGTGTGCTGGGAACACGTGGAGATTTTGGGTTTTCGGGATTGAGGAGTTTGGACTTCAGAACGCTTGTTAAGCCATTTCAAGCAGACCCGTCTGAAAACCCAATGTGCGGAGTTCAGAGAAAGATGCTGGGTCTTGGGGTTTCCAGGCCCTCGGCCCTAAGACGAGCTGCAACACCTCGAGCCACCGGGACGTCCATCCTGCAACTCCGTTGCACCAGGCTTCCCGCAAACGGCTCAGTGATTTCACTCCCTATTGTGTGAAGTCCTTCATGTCACTTGTGTAGCGATGGAACATGCAAGGTTTTGAGGCCTGGGGAGTCTAGTGTTGCCAAGGGTGGCCAACCGAAGCGAAGTCCTGGCGAAGGCAGACTGCAACTACTGACAATCTCAGAAACCCGTCGTAGTAGTCGGGTTAATACACTGGCTTATGGTATGACTATGAAAGGTCTAAAAGGGGCACTGTGCAGGCTTAGCAAGTCAAAAGAGCCTTCCAGTAAGTCGGGACGGGGCTGGTCCCAGGTCCTGGCTCCTGAGGTAAAGGGAGCAGCCTCTAGGTGGTCGCTTGTAGGATCTTCTAGGGCCTGGGCGGGAAAAACCTGAAGGCCAAATTTGGGGCTGGCGCCTTTGTGGTCGGGAGCTTCAAGCAGCCGCTTGGTGTGCTTGAGAGACCAGTGGATCAATTCTATCCTCAGCTGTGGCGCTGGGTTCAGGATTCAGATCCGGAGGAATGCCCACCAAGACTCCTCAGCACGAAGTCATGACGAAGCTTCACATGGAACCTCTAATGAAAGCACCTTTTGCCAAAGCTTAGGCTGATGAAGTGCGCAGGGCGCAGGGCTTTTATCCTTGGGCCAGCAGAGTTCAGCTGTTCAGCTTCTGCTCGCAGCCGTCGGCCAACCCCGCCCAAACCCGCCCAACCTAGCGAAACTTTCAGGACTGGGGGTCTCTGACCCCAAGACACCAAAGGCGAATGCAAGGTCGCCTAGCAGCCCCGCAGTTGGCCCTTTAGAGTGGGTCCTGAGTGAAGCGACCACAAACCCTGACAAACCGCCAAACCCTCGGAGCCCGTGCTGCTCTCTGCGACCCTGCCCGTTTCTTGGCAGGAAGCTGCTTCTCGGGAAATCCCGCGTACCGGAAGCCCTTGCTACCTGGGAGTTGTCCCAAGTCGTGTTTTTAGGGTTCCACGCGACTGTTATAGTGGCTCTAGCTAGGAAACTTACAGGGTTTAGGATTTGATGCGGAGTTGAGGCTTGATGTCCCTCGACTCCGGGGCGGCTAGGTTGTGGGCCTTGGGATGGTCTGAAGGGTTGTGCCTTGAACAGAAGGCCCTGAACCCCAGGCCGGGAGACTTCACCGACACTTCAAACCGAAACACCGTGGCGAAGGCCGAAGGCAATTCCCGGCCGGCTACAAGGGGGGCCCTGACCAACAACATGATGGCGATGTAACCTCCCTGACTCAGAACCCCAGTCAACACGAAGCTCATCTCCAGAACGGGAGGAAAACCCAACAGCTAGCTATTCAAACCCCCGAACCCTCAAGCTCGAAACTCCCTAAAACTCCATGTACATGAACCCCGAAGCCGAAGCCTCACTCCCCGGAAAGTCCCAACTTGTTTCGTCTCGTCGCCCACGGTGAAGGTGTCGAAGTCGGAGACTACGGGCTTCACCGAGCTCTCGGCGTAGGCGATGAGGAGGCCCAAAGGATTCCTTGAAGCTGCACCGTAAGGTTCAGATTGCTTTTTGGGGGGAGGGGGGAGGGTGGAGGGTTGCGGCAAGATTTAAAGCTGTTGCATCGAGTGTACTGATGTTTAGGATCTATGGCGGGTTTGGGTGTACAGTTCATTAAGATCTGGTGAATCTAGCGGGGAGTCAGGGATTGTGGGGTTTGTTGTCGATATACGGGCCGTGTGACGTTTGGTGTCTTTCAGTATGATAGATGCATTCCGTCTTCTCGTTCTCTCTCATTCTTCGTCTCATACTTGCTATTACCGTAATCCACGGCCCATAGACCCAAGTGTCCTGAAAAGCATGCACTCGTCAGTAGAGTCAGAGTCATTGGAACAGTAATGAAGCAAATCCTGGTTAGCAGAGTCTGGATAAATCTCTCTACAGCCCTAGGCCCCACATTCTCAAGGCTTCGGGCTTTTTTTAAGGGTTCAGGGTGCTGGCTTCGCTGCTCCAAAACGCTTTCACATGCCCAGCATCATCGGGTCTGAGGAATCGAACTGGTACAAGACCACCTGCGGGTGGCTGTAGCAGATTGAAGGCTTTGGGGGTTCAGGGTTGAGGGGCTTTTTCTGCCAGACGTCTCTTGGCTGTGATGGTTTTCAACTGGGCTCTGATGGCTTTAAGTGATATCTGAAGCTTCTCATGCCGCAGCATTAAACTTTCGTGGATTTTGGGGCTACTGACCGTTCTTCCAGCCATCCGAAGCCTGCGACCACGGATTGCATCGCTTTTGCAAGAAAATCGCGGCTCCGAAAGTGCCTGGGGAGTCGTCTTCTCATCGCGAACAGCATGAAGATTCCTCGTCTTGTCTGTGGGCTTTTAGCCGTGCAGGGTTCAAATCAAGAAGTGAGGACTGTAGGAATTTGCTGCTCAGGCGTGCATGTCCAGGCTGTCGGCTTTGGGGCTCAGAGAATTTCCGGTCGACACGCGGCCCCAGAACGACGAGCTGCACCAGAAAAACATGGGATCCAACTTTCCATGTTCAGATATCGCCAGCGCCATCAACGAAAAACAGAGTGAAAGGTTCCTCTGCCTAGAGACCCGAGCCTCAGAAGATCCACAGACTCGCGAGGCCGTTGGGAAGCGCGTGCTGCTGCACTGCTACAATTCTCTTCATCCTACCTACAAGCGATACCTCTTAGGCTTCATGGTGCATAAAGATATTGTATGCTCACTATGCAAAGGGATAGCCCTGAACCCTAAAGCCTAAACCCTGATAAAGGGAGTTGTCAGCCTCGACTGCAGCTCTAGCAGAGCACTCGAGGCGAAAGGGGCCTCGACTCTGGGAGGCGAGGCGCATGTCCATGAAGGCCGGCTCGGAGTCTCTCCCCGTCTCCCAGCCCAGAATCGGGGAGATGTCCGGCCTGACTCAGGGGGGGTGGAGAGGCTTTTTCCTTGGCCTTGTAAGGTGGAGAATGTATGCGTTGGGGGCGGGGAGGGCTAATCTTTCGGTTTAGGGACTTGGGCGCTTATGGGATTTAGACTTAGGGCGTAGAAGCTTCAGGTGTTTAGCTGTACAATGCGTACACACGCACGTACGTACATACGTGCATTACCTGCATTACGTGCATGCATGCATTCATGCATATTCATGCATGCATGCATGCATGCATGCATGCATGCATGCATGCATGCATGCATGCTTACATACATACATGCACGCATAACTGCACACGGTGTTTACAGTGGCTAAACAGATATACGGATACGGAGAAGTGTGTAACCTAACTCTGGATATCTTTAACTACGCGGCGAGATTGTGGCAGTCATAAAGGGCACCAAGTGTGGGAGAAGAACTGTTGCCACTTTGATACAGATGATGATCCTTCTTTTGATTAATACAGCCATCATTATGAACACAAATTCGGACTTATTTGGGGATTCGGTGTTCATGACTTAAAGGGTCTTCTTTGTGTCGGCCTAGGCTTCACGCATTAAGTCTTCCACTGCCAGGCACCTCATGATGTAGACCTCCCGAACGAGGGGCTCTGGCACATCCAAGCCTCAGGGCTGTTGCGAGAGGTTCCTGAGGAACTGAAGAACTACAAACTGAAAAGAAGACTGCTGCTGACGACGACGACGACGACGACTACTACTACTACTACTACGACGACGACGACAACGACGACGACGACGACCACGACGACGACCACGACCACGACCACGACGGCGACTACTACGACGACGCCTACCACCACCACTACTACTACTACTACTGCTGCTACTACTGCTGCTACTACTACTACTACTACTACGACTGCGACTGCGACTGCTACTGCTACTGCGACTGCTACTGCTACTACCACCAGTGCTACTAGTGCTACTGGTGCTACTACTGCTGCTGCGAACTCGCTGCTAACACTGCGCGACCACGACCACGTTCACGACGACTACGACTATGACGACGACGACTACTACCACTACCACTACCACTACCGCTACCATCAACAATGCCACCATCACGACCACGGACCAAACTGTCAAGATTGGCTTCGAATCTACAGCATAGAGCCCAAACCGTTCGTGATTTGGCACTGAAAGCTCTTCTCACAGGCTTCAGCACTTGCCGGGGTCGCTGCCGAAGGAAACCGGCTCATACTTGTGGATGAGCTTGATCTCCTCTGGTGTCGGCGCTAGCTTCGACTTTCACTGAGGCCCAAGGTTACAAACAGACTTCACAGGCTTGAGCTGGAATGAGGATGCTGAGGACGACCGAAGGCTTTTGCAGCACATGAGCAAATGCAAGGCTTAATTACCTTTACACCTACGAAAGTGCAAAAGCTTGCGGGTATATGTTGCGCGGTGCAGAGTCTCAAGCAAAGGGCTCAGTTTTTCGGGTTTGTGGCGTTGGGCATGTCTCATTTGTGAGTCGTCGATCTGCGCAGTCGCAGTCGAGGTCAAAGTTGTGACGGCTCTCGATACAATCGTTCGAGGTCTCGGCATTCAGCACCTTCATGCACCTTCCGTGTTCCTCTTGTTGCAAGTACTACGACCATCAGTGCCAGTTGGACTCAAGTTCGCATGTCGGGTCTTCTTCACAAGGGTGCTTGACCAAGCTCCAACCCCAGCTCACAAGTACAAGTTCATGCGGTGACTCTGAACCTGAAAACCTTGTAAAACTGCGCGCCAGATAGCCCGAGCCCCCATCACGGAGCCCTGAGTTTTTTCGGCACTCCGGAGTCTCAGCCAGAGCCAACTCCCTGCTGGCAGGCGGCCGGGACTTTGATCTTCAGGGAATGCTCCTTCCACGTGTAAAGCTGGTGAGCTTGACTGTCAAAAGCAACCATCCACATCCCATTTCACGTCGTATCTCTGCAGGAGTAAAGACTCTCTTCTGCCAATGCGTTATCATTATTCATGATTCTTCTGACCCTTGCTGGTACAGGCTGTGACAAAGCCCGCCTTGAGAACCTTCTGGAGCGCCTGATGTGCAAAGTCCCGGTTGGCGACGCTCTTGTAGAAGATCCTCGGCGGCAAGCTATCCAGCTCGGGAAAGCAGCAGCAAGCCAAAGACATCGACTGAAGAACGTGTGAGCGCCTAAAACACCCTGCAGGCCTGCCCCCGACACCTTCAGCCCGAAACCCAATATATATATATATACACATAGATAGATAGATATATATATATATACACACACACATACATATGTATATATATATATACATATATGTATATATATATATATACATATATATATATACACATTTTTTTTTGGTAAGCCAGAGGCTTTGCCAGGCCGCTTGGTCCGGGCATCGGCGGGGGAAGCCTCGACCTGCGTCTTGTGCTCGTTCTTGCCTCGCAGGAAGGCGTAGGGCCGTAAGGCTTTGGGTGGAGAGTCAAAGGGCACGGCTTGAAATGCTCGAAAGCCTGAAACCCACAAGCCGTCATGTCAAACCGCCCCGTCTGAGCTGATGCAGGCACGTGGCTGATTTGCAAGAACGGCACCTGAAACGGTCTTTCAAGACAAGATTCAATGCTTCTCTGCGTTATGGTTCAGCCTACTCTCAAATTACGCTTCCTAACAATTCTCTTACACTCCATTGCTTCCAGGCTCTAGAATTCACGTCGCAAGGCGAAGGGGCTTTGGGCCTTTGGGCTTGAGGCTTAGGAGGCAGCTTGATTGAGGGATTTGTTAGGGTCCTCTTGAAAAGGTGTTCGGAGACTTGATTTCTGTATATATATATATATACATACATATATATACACACACATACACAAACACATGTATAAGTAGACAAGACCAAGCTGTTGGGGTGGGAGACACAACATCAGCACCAGCCATTGATTCATGGACAGACTAGATTTCTGCAAGACAACGCAGGTACTTCAAGACGTGGGCCCTTAATGGTGGTGAGTCTGGGCTTGTGCACAATCCGGCTCCGGCATGCTCCGGCAGTGTGCTCGCAAAGTTGTACCCTGGCTGCACTCTACATTGTCTTTACATGGTCACGGTGAACCCGGCCCCCAACATCCGACGCCGGTCCCAAGACCTGCATCCTTGCCTGAACCTGATTGCAAGGACCTCATCACAGGACAAGTTGCAAAGGCGGATAGCCGATTCTTCTTCGCGGATTTGCCCTTCACGTTGAGGCCCTTCCCCACTCCCACCTTTCCTGTCGGAGCTCGGATGTTTGGGCTCCGACCAAGTTATTAGTTTCGGCGTTGGTGCTGATACCAGGTTTTCAGCGCTGTCTACGCCTGGCTACAGTGTCTACATCTCTTCTCATCGAGGGGTGTCTGCTTGCTAGGAACTTGGAGCGATGCCGTACAGTAAAACAGAGCCCCCTAAACCCCCCAAATTGGCACAAAACGGATTCGCTCAGCGAAGAGGCCTTGCAGGTGCTGGGGTTCGGGTGCAAGGATGCCAGCCCAGCCTAGCATTTTCGCGATGCTGTCGCGGCTGCAGGGCCGGTAGACTACGAACCTTGTCTCGACGGCTGCAGATGCTGTGGCTTCGGGTTTGGGGCGCTTTATTGCTGAGCCCACGGAAGGCACAGCACCTAGCGACGGAAGTCAGGTTCAGGGGTTCAGGGTTCCGGGGGAGTTCCACATTTGTGCATGTATGTTTGCTTTAGGTGGTCAGTGTCCCGCTTCAATAAGCCGTGGATGTCGTGAGGTAGCTGGAACAGACCCGTTGGCCGGTGTGGTGCAGGTGACTTGCGACCAGTGGCTGTGGTGCTCACATTTCTGCCTACTTGTTTGTGTTCACTGCTGCTGCTACTTGCTAGATACCCCTTCGTCAGAACCATGTACCAGTAACGGCCGGTTCTCTCTCGTCATCTATGACTCGCCTACTCTGTGCATTCAGCCATTTAGTCCTTTATCTACTGTCCGGCCCAAACCACATCCGACCCCCAAGCACCCTGAAAAGGACGCGCCCGCGGCCACAGAATAGCAGGATTGCAATGCCGTCCCTTACCGCCAGTGCAAGCTAGGGACCATGTCGACTGCTGCGACTTCACGCTGTTGGGTTGCAGCCCCCTGGGCTCAGCTGGTCGTTCAGGGTTGGCAAATTTAGGTTGGGAGTTAGGGCTTGGGGTGTTTGGGTTACAGGCACGAAATCAGCGTTGCTTCGGATCGCGAGACCTCTCTCCTAAACTCACCAATCATCGTACAAGTATATGCACCTACTGTAGTGTATGAGGGCTTCTCAAACGCCGGAGTCGTGACTGGCATCCGTGGCTTTGGGGGATCCGGCTTGTTGTGCTTTTCACCTTGGCAGACTTGGCACGGATTTGTTCATGTTTTGGTGCGCATTTGTTGGCCGACGTTGCACGCGAATTTTGTGGCTGATTTTTGCACGGCATTTTCTGAGAGAGACGGAATCTTAAGACCATCCGAAGGAAACCCACGAAACAACTGCAGGGCCATGCACAAACATGAGCGAACAATTCGTTGCCAATCCCGGGCTATCCTAAACTGGTTTCCCTCCAACATTCTCAGCCCTGAAGCTGCGAAACTGGCAAACAGCTTGGCTTCTTGTTGCCCAAAACGGGCCCTCGACAACTTCACGCAACGTGTAAGCCTCGTTGCAAAGTACATCGTACCATTATCAACTACTCAATTATCATGGTATAAGCTCAATCCTTGAACTTTATGCAGAGCCGCTTTCGTTTCAGGGTGCCGCAGGGCCCACGCGTGTCGCCTGACAAGCTGAGACTTTGCCGACTTGCGACAAGGCCCGGAGGTTGGGTTCTCTACAAGCTTTGAGGCGTCTCACAGGTTACAAATAGTCTCCAGAATTGCAGAACCGTAGCCAAGGGCTGATGCCACGTAGGATTTTGGGGTGATTCGGAATGCTGACACCCAACCAACCAGAACCAACTCAGTCCTAGTGTGGGAACGCAACCCGGGACCAGGACAAGGCAAGCCCTGCTATGCGCCATTGTGTCGGTATTGCGATTACGGCTCCTCATATTGTCCTTATTTTTAAGTTACTCATACCTTTGATTATGATCGAGGCGGCCTCTAAGGTAGAAGTCGGCCAGGAGTTTCCTGGGATCTGCGAGGTAGGACTCCGCCTGAGGCAAGGTGGCGCTTAAATGTTTTCAGCAGTCAGTTTGCGCTGCCCAAGATCATTAAATCGCCATGAACCAAGCCCCCGCAAGGTTTCGGATATCCAGATGGAATGGACTACTACTGGTACTACTACTACTACTACCACTACTACCACTACTACCACTACCACTACCACTACCACTACCACTACCACTACCACTACTACTACTACTACTACTACCACCGCTGGTTCTGCTGCTACTACTAATATTATTATTATTATTACTACTACTACTACTACTACTAGTACTACTACTACTAGTACTACTACTACTAGTACTACTACTACTACTACAACTACAACTACTACTACTGCTACT